GTAGAAAGTAACAGGAGTCGAATTATTTCCATAGACCTCCACAGATTCTGGTTTCCAACCGTCATTGCCAATCCTGTAGAGATACAAATAACATATCTGGGATGTACACGGTCCGGATACCAGAAACGTGTCTATTGAACACTGGTCAAATGTTCCTGGAAACGGATCTTCTAGCATCGGTACAAAAACCTACAAATAATCATTCAAACAATGTTACTGTAAAACGAATTTATCAATACAAATTTTTCAAAATCAAGTCTCTTACATGGGGTTCTCTTAAAATTGTGGAAGTATACCAATCAACAAATGTTATTTTGTATAGAAATTTATGTACTGAATTTTCAGTTTGGATAGTAGACTAAGTAGAACTTCAGGAATTGTAAAGGGAACCAACCAAAGGTAACAAAGGGAAACTAAAGTAAACGGTGTATCCAATGCACGAGATTCCCGTCATTATAAGATCTTGGGAAGGGAGTTAAATGTCCGCAATCTTATCTCTATTTGTAAACAGAGAGGTTAATTCCAAAACTTGAACCCGTGATTTTCGCGTCACAATGAAACAACCTTATCGTTGCGTCAAAGTCTGGCCTCAAAGGGAAGGGAAACTAAAGTGCTGGGTGACAATTAACAACAATGGTTAACATAAGACAAAAACTCAAGGAGGGCACGGGGTACATGGAATTCTTTGTAGAAAGCACACTGGAACTATGCTGATAGAGGCCTCAGGTCAAATGGCAAGCTCCTCCCACTTGGTTACATAAGCATGGGCTGTCCAACATGCCTTCAAAGTAGCAAGACAAGAGGCTACCAACCATATTGCTGATTCTGATTTGAACGGTCCTCATACATTTTCTAAGTAAGGAACAAAGTTGCTTTAAGCTCCCTTCAATACACCTAGGTAAGGGCCCAGGTGGGCCGAGCCAAACGGAGGCCCAAGGAAAAATTCTTGGATGAGGTCTCATTAATTATAATTATTTTAAAATAAATAACATTTTTATTTTTATTAAAATATTGATGTTTATTTAAAAATAAATTTTTTGTTTGTTATTTCAGATGCCAACTTACTATTTAATTTATGTAGTCAAATTCTTTAGTATATCATTTAGATTAATAAAATTCAATGAAGGACTAATAATCAACAGAATACTAAAAGAGTATATTTGAAGTTCAATATTAAACACTCTATTAATGTTTATGTTGTCGTGACAACAAAAATAAGTCATTAAAAAATTCAATTTAAATTTAAATAAACGGATCCCAATAATGAAGATTGTACCATTAATACTATTATGATTAATATAATAAACCTCATATTAGTATAAAACTCGTAAAATTAAAATTTGTCTATAAAAAATTTCAACAATACTAAGTTGACCAAAATTTTTTGACAATTTTTTTATCTCTAGTGATCTGGCACATTTTTTACCATTAAATAAGCATGTTTCATTAATATTTAATAATAAAAATTGTGTCACGCCACTTAAAAAATAAAAAATCTGGTAACGAACTTAGTAAGTATAACAATACGAAAAAAAAATTAGGGCCCGCAAAAACAATAAATTGATTTGATTGAACATTAATCAAAAAAAAAATTTTTGGATCTTGAAAATATATTTAGACTTAATTAAATTTAAATTTAAAATTTTTAAAAATAATTTAAGGTTAGGTAAAGCTAAATTTTAAAAAAAAATATATATATTTGAGGCCCAAAAACAAGAAGAAGCTCTGGGGGACGGCTTCGATTGCCTGGGGGTAGGCCCTGGTAAAGGGTTGTTAAACAACCCGCTGTGGCGGCTTGCTTTACTCTTCAATTTAGAGCCACCAAGAGATTAGGCAGCCAAGCTGGCTGCTCATAACTGGATTGCTATTTGGACCATGAATATACGAATTCCCGTCCCCTCTTAGGGTTTGAAACTCGTTGTTCACTCCCTCTAATAGTACATGACCAAAAAGAAAAACATAGGAGTTTCCTACAAACAATAGTAGTCTCGTTTTGTTCCAAACACAACACAACAAATCAGAAATATCAAACTGTTTACTACAATATACCATTCATGCTGAGAAAATATTTGTTAAGAATGTCTATTTATGATTTTTTTTTTTTTTTCCATCGTGGGTTGGTTCTAAAATTATGTGGGGAGAAAAAAAAAGATTTGAGTTTGTGAAGAGAACCTGGTTGCCATCACCATCGCCAAAGGAGAGACTGATATGGTCAGTCGTGCGCTTGGGTGAAGAGCAGCTTGTGGTTACGTTCACCGTGTAAGAACAGCTCTCATTCTACAAGTCAAAAAGAAAAGTGTAAATGCTTTTACTTTCACTTAAGATGGTATCTCTCATCATTCACACACAAAAACATTTTGCATAAATTTGTACATCATAAACTCTCTCTCTCTCTCTCTCTCTCTCTCTCTCTCTCTTTATCCTTAACAAAACCACGCAACTCTAAATATAGAAGTTATACAAGAATAGAGGAAAGTATCCTACCTTGGTAGGGTTGAGTAAGAGGTTGAAGGATGGGAGAGGTTGGGGCCGTGAAACAATGGAACTTGCCTGTGAGGAGGTGAAGATGAAGGCGAGGAGGAGAAGAAAATACACTACTCGGACCATTTCCACAAAACTACTCCTCTTTGCAGAAATGAATATGAAGGCCGAAGAGTCTTTATTATATACATTTTTTGTAGCCAAGAGAAATATACATTTTTGTTGTGGTGCACTGCTACTGTTATGGGAAAGGAAACTACAGAGGACCGGTTGGTTCGACATCGGCAGGTTGACCGGTTGGTAAACATAGAATTGTGTGTTCTAATTCTGACTCAATTTTACCAGTCAACTAGACATGGGTTTCTGTTCAAATGGAAAAAAAAGGGTTCGGGAGAATTACATTTTGATTTTTTAAAGTTTGATACTTAATTATTCAGAATTCTAATATTTAAAATATTACATACAAATCTCTTAAAGTTTGTACGCACGTAATATTTAGACTTCTGTCGTCAATATTTGCTAATATATCAATTAATAAATTATACATAGAGCTTTTAAAATTTGTAAACATATAATACATAGACCGTCTAAATTTAAAATATTATATTTAGACAAAAAAATATTTTAATCAAAGATAAAATATCAAATATTTTAAATTTTATAACCAAAATTCATGTTCTACTATATTATTTATTGAAATAAAATTAAAAATAAAAATATATTTTTCTTAAAAAAATCATAATTTAATATATAATTATACTATTTATTCGAATAAAACTAAAAATCAAATAAAGAATTTAAGTCATTTATAATATAACATGAATTTTATAATCAAATTTCATGTGTTTATTATGTCATTTATTAAAATAAAATAAAAAATTAAAATCTAATTTTTCTTAAAAAATTATAATTAATATACAATTATATTATTTATTAAAATAAAACTAAAACATAAAATAAGGGGTTAAACTATAACATACACAATGTATTCTAATTTTAATTGAGATAATTTAGTAGTTTAATTTGGTTGTTTAAATGACCAAATAAATTTCAATAGATTGTACAATTGTATACTAATTATGATTTTTTTAAAGAAAAAATTATATTTTTATTTTTGATTTTATTTCAATTAATGTCATAATAGAAAATAAATTTTGGTTGTAAAATTTAAATATTTGATAAACCTTTGATTAAAGTATTTTTGGTCTAAATATAACATTTTAAACTTATGTAGTCTAAGCATTACACATTTACAAATTTCAAGGGGTTTGAGTCTAATTTACTAACAGACATTGACTACAAAAGTTTAAATGTTATGTGTGTATAAATTTTAAGAGGTTTGTGTGTAATATTTTAAATATTAGGGGATCTAAGTGATTAAGTGACAAACTTCATGAGACTTACGTGTAATTCTCTCAAAAGGTTATTATCTAACTTATTCCATAATATTTGTGAGCTATCCCACATCGGATAGTTTTGGGTGTGAGTGTTAATTTAAATATTCCACTTGCCACTTCCTTTTTTTAAGAGATTGTATTAAGTGTGTGTTCAAAAAGATTGAAAAAGCCCTTTGGGGCATCAAACAGGGCGTTCGATGTTGGGCTAGAATCCCACTCTTTAAGCCGTTTGGGCTTTGCAGTTATGATAATCATACCCGGGGTGTTGGGGGACTGGGCTATCCCACATCAGATAGCTTTGAGTGTGTGTGTGTTAATTTAAATATTCCACTTGCCACTTCCTCTTTTAAGAGGTTGTGTTAAGTGTGTTAAAAAAAAAAAAGAATGTTGGTGGCTTTTTTTAATTTTATTTTATATGCCAACTATATTAATAGGTCACTACAGTATTTTTTTACTCATGTACCGGAATAATATTGGACTATGTACAAGTCCATCTCCAATACGAGGGGATAAATTTATATATTGTGGGTCTAAGAGATTATGTTTTGTGAGATATTTGAACTTCTAACTTATCTTTTACGATAAATTTATCAGGTGACTGAGTTACGAGATATGTACAAGAATATTGGCAGTTTTATGGATAGAGTAATGTTATTAAAATATAATTTAGAGACATATTAGATTATGGGTAAGTTTAAACATTCAATGTATTTTATTATCAATTCAATAATTATAATATATTTATATCCAAATAATATTAGTGTTAAGGAAAAATCCATATAATTTGTGCATTTTTTCTATTATTATGATCCCAAAATTAGCAGGGTCGCCTCTATCACAAGGTCTACAAAGTCTGGGCTTTAGGCCCCATATTCCAAAAAAGCTTCAAAATTTTTAGGTGTATAGTTAGTCTAAATCAAAATTTTTAAATCCATAAGATTTTAGTCGTTAAAAAAAGCTCCATGAAAATTTAAACTAAATAAAAAACAAATTTGAATAGTTTGGGCTCATGAACCCAACCATAATATTAAAAATATACTAAAATAAATATTTTAGAAAAAAAAAAGAAAAGAAAAAACTAAGGGTTAAAAAAATAATTTTAACAATCGACCAAAACATGTCATTTATTTGTAATAATTCTCTATCTCTGGTAAACTAAGTCCCTCTGACTGACTTTCTAATAAATACAAACAAATTATCATCTTCTTTTTTGTGTTACAATTTTTTTTTATTTCTATTACAAAAAATAAATCAAAATATATTTTTATTAAACTATAAAAAAAATAAAATCAATAGATTATCATTGTTTAAAATTAAAATTGATAAAATCTTTCCTAAGACTGATTATCACAACAAAGATTATATTACTTTTAATCTTAAAAAATAATTTTTAAATAAAAGACTATTAATATTAAAAATAAAAAATCTCATTTATTTTAAGCTTCAAATAGTCTTACGCCGCCTCAGAAAACCGGTACAGTAGGAACTCAGTCTAGGGTATACTCAACCTAATTTAATTGACTATTGTCNAAATTAATTGGGTAAGTTATACCTGGATCCTCTCAAGTTTGTCACTTAATCATTTGAATCCCCTCACATTTAGAATATTATTATTTCTACGCCTTCTGATGTTTGTGCATGTATAACAAATAATTCATTGTTGTTAATATTTATTAATATAACTGTTAAAAAATATCATTTTATCTTAATAAAAAATTATAATTTTTGTATTACCATTTATTTTGTGGACCTGTTATACTCTAAAGTTCAAAATTAAGCTTACCATTTGAATATCTAATATAATATAAGTATTTATATAATGTTCCAATATAATGTAAATATTTATATAATGTTCGTTATATCCAATGTAATGTATCAGTTGAATAAAATTATTTGGAAATCCAATTGAGAGAATATTTTTAGTCATATTTAGATTCTCAGGAGATGCAACTATAATATTTCAAATACGAGGGACTTAAGTGATCAAGTGACAAATATGAATGGATCTAGGTATAATTTATCCATTTAATTTTAGACGACAAACTGACGGGTGTTAATTTCATGTGTGCATTAATGCATATTTATATTTTTGAGGGTATAAATTAAAAATTTTGATCTTTAAAAATGTAAATTAAGATTTAAATGATATTTTAAAATACAATTTACGATAAATCCTAAAAAAAAAAATACAATTGGGTTGTTAGAAACATATAAGAGTGTTGGCGGCTTTTATGGATTCAGTAATAGTATTGACTATTGTATTGAATTAAATCACTTATTAATTTTTTTTATTTCATATCACTTATTTTCTTTTAAGGTGTTTGTTGGCTTTTTCGATACGAAATTTTAAAGCCGATGTCAGATAGCTTTAAATACTGCCTAGTACAATGTGTCAATTTCATCTTTCAATGTCAGCTTTAAAAACGTGGCTCCAATTTCATCGTTCAATCCAATGTGTCAATTTCATCGTTCAATCCAATTTCATCGTTCAATCCAATGTGTCAATTTCATCGTTCAATCCAATGTGAGCTTTTAAAACTTGGCTCCAATCTTATTTCACTTCTATAGCATATCCTTATCTCCGCTACGTCCCCAAGGGATAACCCAGTATATTCACTGTACACCAAGAAAATTAGGTGCCAACCGGTCAAAAACATCCAGATGCTTGTGTACACTTGTATAATTACAGTGGTAAAGCTTTCTTTTCTTTTTTTTTTTTTTGCTTTTGGTGATTTGCAAAAAATCAATCACACGGTACTCAAATTATATCTCAAATGACGATGTGATGTGATAAGGAAAACGTCGTAATTTATTCAACTTTGGAAAGTTGGTGTAGTGTTTTGACAAATAAAAACATTTCTGGCAAAAACTCAACACAATTTCCATACTAAAACTTTAATACCTAATATTTCAAGGTTTTTGAGATTTTTTACATTTGATTTTTGCTAGAAAAAAATACTCTAAATAACTTTATACATATGATTTGGGAATATTTGTTTACACTTGCTCATAAGGACAAAATTTTAGACATAAGCCGTCATAACCTTGGAGCTTAATAAGCTCAGAAGATCTTTATTTGTTTAATAGCCCAAAGAAAGATCCCCCAGTTAGCCCACTTCGAATAGCAAAAAGGGACAAAAGACAAAGTACCAAAAAGGGACAAAAGACAAAGTACCAGACGATCAGCGGTCCAACCCAGGCCTAGTTCAATACTAGTTAAAGAACAACTTGGAAAAGAAAAGTCACATCTTTGCCCTAGAAACATCCTATCATGCCACCTGTCTAAAGGACAAGGAGATCATCTTTGATGCCTATGATAGTTACACCCTCCCGGACACAGAGAGTGGCGATGCGCCTAATGGTCCAGAGATCGTGGGCACAGTAGCGCCGAATAGCAGAGGCTGTTGCAGAACAGTGACAGAAGATCCCACAGAATTAACAAAAATGTTAAAAGAACAACCAGGAACTCTAGGAGGGACGACTCATATAAATAGAACAATGTCATCCTATCAGGAGGATGAATCAATTATCTTCCCCACTGCACTCCCCAGCTTGAGTGTCATAGCAAGTAAAGCACAAATCCTTTTAAAGGCCTAGCGCCAATAATCTCACTGTATTCTACAGTGAACGTAGCCTTAGTACTTCGGCTAAGGCAAACCACTCACGTTCTCTGTATTCTGTTACTCATAAATTAACCTCTCANTCTAGGTATAATTTATCCATTTAATT